AGAGCGCACGAAGTGCGGCAGCGGCAGGGACAATGGACAAACCTCAACTAGCTTGGTCCACAAGCGTACACATGCACTGACAATGAGGCAGAAGGCGGAGGGCGCAAAAAAGGCCAGGGGAATGCAGAGTCCGTGCAGGAAGATCGCACCGAAGTAGCCTGAGCAGACCAGAAGGCAGCCGGCGAGTATAGTGCGAAAACGCTGCCTCTTGCGGATGGGATAGGCCACTGGCACGGGTTGAGGCAGGGCTTCCGGTTGCATAGGGTTTTGCGAACCGTCTTTGAGTTCAGAGGTTGCCTAAAGGAAGAAAACGTAGGTGCATCGGGGGGAGGCTAGATCAATTGGATAAATGTAAGGGAGAGTGAGGTGGGGGATAACATCAGTCGCCTTTGCCGGTCCTGCATACAGAGACGGATAAGAGTCAGAAAAGGACCGATAGAACGGCCAGAAACCATTGTGTTTATACCGACAAACGACTTGCTCGAGGTGTTAATGACGTAGCTCGTGGGATTTATGGAAGTAGAAGGTCGAGCAAACCAGCACGCCAGCTCTAGTCAGGACTGCCGTCTAATGGCAGTACAGACAACAGTAGGGAACAGGGTCGGCAGTTGCTAAATTGAACCGTTTATTTATTATTGGCCACAGCAACAGGAGTAGGAGATTCAACAAAGTGCCCGCTCTGACTGAAGTGTTTACTATTGCTATTAAAATCCTAATATTAACGTAATAACCGGAAGCGATCGTGTAGGAGGCCGAGATGGGTTTCTTTTCAAGTGAATTCTCATTGGTCTGTAGCGCGCTTTCCTTTATAGGCGATCGGTGCACTGCGGGGATAAACGATGGCAGCTTCAGTTGGCTTAAATAAAGTCAGGTTCTATCAATACCTGCTAATGAGCAATCCGTTCTTATGGTCAGCTGTAACTTCTAGTAGAGGCGGGCAGTCAACCCGCAGAAGTTCAGAAGTATTCCTATAGACTCCAGCAAATAAGAGTTACTTATGATTTGCCGTGGTAATAGCGCGATCCCCGATCGTGGTGGGGGACATATTTGTCCCGTTGTACCTTGGGGCTCACCCTTAAACCCCGCAAGTAGCCGCATAGAGGCAAGTATAGTACGCAGAATAACATCACCGTCAAAGTCAAGGGAGATTGGAATGGCCATTTCTAGCTTATTAGGCGTCATTAGCCAGCCATACTCAACCCCAAGTGTCGCAATTCCTGAGGCGCGAATACATGATCCTTTGATTAGAAGTCCAACGGCTTAAATATTGAGCCACGGACTCGTTTTACTGTCGTTCGCGATCAGGTTCCTTAACACTGATCGTCAGAAATGGTCATTTCACTCTCACCTGTCTTTGTCGGTAATGTTATTCCATTTACGACCTTTATGTTATCTTTCACAACTACATTAGTTGATAAGAGCGAAGACTGCAAGATCAATTATTGGCATTTACAGCATCAACTACTTTGCCCTAAACGTGCCCAAATCGCGAAAACAATAACGACCCAGGAAGCATCCGAGCATGACAAGTTGCTTAAGAAGAAATCATAGAAACTGAGTAAGAAGGCTGGCTCCTCAAATCCGCACCAGGTACTCAGCATCTGTGCTATCAGTTCTCGTCTGCCAGTTGTTCTCTATCTGAGTGATTACTCCGTTTGAATGCCAGTGAAAGATTATGTAAGTTGACGTTAGGCCTGCCAAAACCCGCTTGAGTTAGTCCGCAATTTCACAACCTCGACTTTGTAGGCCATACTAGAGGAAGAAGAAGATTCACAGGGGAAAATAGGTAAACCGTCTGAGGCAGTCAAGGCACAGTGGGCGTCCGCGGCTGCGACAACTCAGAGGTAGAGGGTCCGACCAAATTCAGTCGGTCGGCTGTTCGACTCTGCGTTAAAGCAAACACTTTCTGACTGTGTAAGGTCGCTAAACTTTCATAGTATGCCTTGCGAAATGTTATATTTAGTGAGTAAGTACAAGTATATTCAGTGAAAGCACGGCTAACGAGAAGTTACATAAGAAATGACCGGTGTTAAAGTAAAAAGAAAAAAGTGTAGGCACGGGTTAGTACTAAGGAAAAAGAGAAGATTCGACCGCTGGGATAACACTTTTATTCGCGCGACGTTTCGACATCCGTTGCGGATTCTTCATCAGGGACATGAGCAGAAAGTAGTAGCAGAAACGAATTAATACTTGTGTTTATACAGACAATTGATGGTACACATTAAAAAAAGCTCATCAAATTAAGAAGTCAGTTGATTTGTGTGTGACGGAAATCCGGCCTTGGCAATGTGTCATCACTAAGTCGAAAATGGGGTATTCGCCATCCAAACTCGTACCCACTACTGAAGGCCACAAGGTATTACATAAACCTATTGGGCTCGAACGGTTTCAGTCAAGTTAAGTGGACAGTAATTGCGCGTGGCCTTTTATCCCTTGACCTGAGGCAAGCAGCAACAGAGGATTCGGCGTGTACAACATGCAAGAATTACGCCCCACCTTTCAAGCGTTATAGACACCCCTTGTGCTGCCATAGGCGAGGGGGGAGCGATAGAAAGCAAGCAGGACGGTGTATAGATGGTCGGGTTTTTGTGAAAACAGAAACGATACAGGTGCATCTCCGCAGGCGTCCTAAACACTATTAACTCGGTGCTTCACGTATAACCCATAGAAACGAGTTTGTTTTACGAGAATGAACGACTGAAAGTTAAAGCCTGCTGAAGCGGCGGTAGCTGCGAGATTACTGTGGCCAAGGTAGGTAATAGGAAATGTGATGTAACTCGCCATCAGCGACAGAGGCGATTCGACTCGCCCCACCAGATTGGTTTTTTACACAACAGAAGCAGGCAGAAGGTAGGAGACGCAAGAAACCAAATAGTAAAAAAAGAGGGATTTGAAAATTCAGCAGTAGTATATTCTTACTAGCACAGAAATCAATTACAGTATGTACACACAGCATCGGGCACGGGTCAATGTTACAGCGGTCACCGTGAGGGCTTGTGCACCGGGGCACAGTCGAATTTTCCGCGGACGATCTTGTGTTTAACTCCGATCAGATCCTGGCAACGACCTCCGCGAACCAAGACTATGTTGTGTTCTTGTAGATTGTGACCTTCACCGGGCACGTAGGCGACTACCTCGCGGCCGTTGCTCAGTCGCACCTTGACACACCTACGATTGGCGCTGTTCGGCTTTTTTGGTTTCCTGATGAGGGTTTTCAGTACGACAGCCTTCATAAAGGGCTTTCCGTCCATGTGTTTATTTAGGGCGCGCTTCTTGCGGAACGGTCCTTCAATGGCCATTTCGGCGATGGTTCGGTACATACGCGAGGGCAGAAAGCAGGCTGACCAAGCGAGTGAGGGGAGCGAGAGGAGGGTGGAGGGAACTGTGGGCGACAGAACGGATCCAAGGAATCCGGGTGTCGGAAACTTGACGCCGACATTAGCTGCAGAACAGAGCATTTGGAAATAGTCTAACTTCTGACTTATAACAAACGGCACATAAAAATGATCAATATATGACAAATAGTTTGGCACCAACTTTTGAAAGCCGAGAGGAATAAGATTTCCTTAAGACACAGAACTGATTCTATTGGGAGGACGTTGATATGGATCAGGCAAAAAGGAAAATAAAAATTGTATATCGAATTCGCTAGGACTGCTCAAACGGTATTATTTGCAAATTACTGTCCAAAAATAGTCACACCTAGGGAGCTGTTGAAATATTAACAAAAGTACAAACAGTGAAATGCAGTATGAAGCCACTGGCTTATGTACGGGCACGAAAAAAGCTTGAAAATCCATAAATCAAACTCCTGCGGAAAGTGATGCGTA